TTCTTCAATATCCAACTTATAAAGTTTATTAAATTTTCTTCAAAAAAAAAAGAATTAGAAAATTTAAGTTTATAACTCTCATTTAATTGCTTAATCTAAATATAACTAATATTTGAAAAGAATCTTGATTAAATGAGAAACAATTTTATTAGAAAAGACAATGTTAGATTAAAAGTTGAGAAAAAACTATTATAACACTCTTATTAATTCGACTCTTTTCCTTGCTTTTCATAATCTTAAGGCAATTTTTTAAAATCTCATAATGCTTAATTTTGAATATTTTCAATTTACTTTATTGAGATAATGAATAAGATTAAAATTCAGCCTTCAAAACAGATATGTTAATTATTATTTCTGTAGCAATTAAAAATTAAAATTATCTTTAATTGTTTAATTCATGCTATAATAAATTAAAAAATATAGATAAAATTCAGCTCTAAGTTTAAAATTAATTTACACTAATTTATTAAGTATAAACCATTATTAGAAATTAAAATATTTTTTTTGATTACTTTAAGGATTATTTATTCATATATGAGAAAAATTATTGAATTATATTATTTTATTTGAAAATGTTGTAAAAAATTATCAAAAGAATTAAAGGCATTAATTTTAGCAATCAAAATCATGCTTTAATACATTTATTGAATATTTTTTCAATAAATTAATAAATATAGAACTTTTGTTAACAGAAATGGTTTTTTAATATTTTAATATGGATTAGACTTCTGGAAATTTGAATTTTAACTTACATGATTAGATTATTTTTGACTTTACAGAATCTTGTTAAATTATCAATAAATGAATTTAAAATGGAAACTACTCTTTTTAAACTTTTGTGTTTTTAAAGGGATTTACTAAAACAATTAAACTTATAAAATAAGATTGAAATGAAATTTTGAAATTTTCAACTTTAAAGTTAATTCTAAAATTCTATCTATTGATTAAGTCTTTTTATGATTTTGGTGACTTATTTTAAAGCTAATAGATGATATTATTAAATAAGTTTAGCATTATTAATTATTATGATAACAGAAAGTTGGTAAATACTGAGAAGGAATAATGTATTTAATAAATCATACGTTATTTAATATATAAAACCTTGTTTAATCATTCTAAATATACCGTTGAATTCAATTTAATTATCTTATGTCTGATATTTAGCATTGATATTAATTAGGACTATTCAATATGATCAATTATTTCTATAAAGTTTAAACATTCACGATTTATTTGATTTCTTCGTCATTAAAAACGTTATTTTGGCATTTAATTTGTCTAATTTGTTTTGCTTTTATGAACAGATATTTTTTTAATACTTTGAATTACTTGAAAACTCTTGCCTTTTACTGTTATCTATTTATAAGCCATTTCTTCAAGAAACTATATTTTAATGTCCATGGAGCTTTCTTCCTTATAGTGTCTCTTATAGAATCAAGTTACACTTCAAAGGTTATTAAGTATTAGCTTATAATTTCAAATAATAATTTCAATAAAAAGTGAATATTAAGATAAGCAAGCATAATCAAAAATGGAATTTGAAACTCAACTATATCACTCATTTATTCTATATATATTCCTAGTCCTAAAATAATTGATATTTAACAAACTTATGCTGAAAAAGCATCTATTTTATTTAATTTTATTGAACTATATGGTTAATATTTAATATTAAGTCTCTCATAAATATGAACTGTTAGGAATACTAGAATACCTTTTTTAATGATAACTTCATCATAATAAGTTAGGAAGATGATAATTAATTCTTTTTGAAAAATTTTAACAATTTCCCAAAAAAATGCTGTAATTTTGTACTCGTTGTACAAATAACCAAGACGCTATCTCATTAATTTTGTGTTCAATTTAACTTTGTTGAAGTACATTCCTAAATATAAAATTATTGGAATCAAAATAGCAATTATCAATATCAATGGAAGGCAAAAGGTTGTCAACCAAAAGTAATGTGAACTAGTATCATATCTATATGCAACATTAGCTTAAATCCATTTGAAACCAGAAATTGAACGAAAAGAAATTAACTATAAAAATCCTCCAATTAAATTAGGTTAAGCATATATGTACAGATATATAAAAGTTGTTGTGATAACACTTACTTTATAACTTAAGTAATTGAATAAAACTCCTATAAAAAAGAATCCTAAAAATAAAGTGATATATATTAAAGGTAAAATTAATTACCATATCATTCTTGAATAATGAATGTCATAAGAAAACATTACAATTAAAAAGCAATCAAGAGAATATGTCATTTTTTGTATAGGATTTGCTGAAGAGTTTATTGCATTATTTAAATATTAA